GCAGAGGTGGGGGGGGGGGGGGGGGACCAATTAAAATGGATATTCTGTCACAAAAATAACAATACGTAAGCTTAATATGGGAAAGAAGTGTAAAAAAAATAAAATGAGCATATCATGATTCATATAAGGCTGTCCCGGCCAGATTGTCAAAGGTGCAACATATCCGGTTTTTCTTACTGTATGTTATAGTGCCTTAAAACAAAAAGAGAAATTAAGGAATGTGTTTAGGTTTGTAAGAAGCATTATTAATGACAAATAACAGTATCTCCAGCATACAATAACAGTGGAAACAACAGAGCCGTCAACTCTATAAACATTATTGGTCAACAGTCCATACTGCTTGCCAACAGAAATAAGAAATGCAATACAGGTAATTGGCTCTCTTGACGTCACTCAGAGAACATCACTGCCCTCTTTTGGCAGTCCAATCTTCACAGTCAGTATTCGTACAGGTTTTGTACCAGAGCAAAAGCAAGTTATAGGGGAGTCTGGGTCAAGCTTTGGCATATGCAAACAGGTTCAACACTCTTAAGTAGGTGGGAAAACCAAACATAATTCATACGTCACATGTTACGGTAGGACTAGTGGAGCTCTTGGAAATGGTTACATTCAGGGCTCAAACCAGTCCGATTAGCTGAGGAATGGTGAAGGCAGGAATTCGGTCTCTTGTTTGAAAGAGTTTTCCACAAAACACGCACATCCCAGTGAGCTACAAAGGAAGATGGTGGGGAGGGACAGGAGAGGCAGTGTAAACATTGAAGAGAGAGGCATTTCATTTGGCAGACAATGAGGCTTCTCAATGGAGGTAGTGGGCTGAGGGCACTGGGAGGTGACTGAAGGACAAAGTGGTGATGTTTGGGGTCAAAATGAGTTGGGAAGACAGGGCTGGCTGGATTTATGTGGGCGCAGAGGCGCTTTCCTGTGGGTTAGTCCTGTATGAGCCTTCCTCCAGTGCCCCCCTCCTCTCCTCTCGGCCGTCCCCAGCGGACAGACCCATCGGGGGCTTGTGTACAGTCACTGAGCCCTGGGTGAGGATAGAAGAGTGGGTTTCTTCCCCATCCCAAAATGACCTGCCTGGGACATCTGAGACAAGAAAAATAGAGACCGTGAAATAAGTGCATGCACTAGATCAGTTCCGAACCCTACTGAGCGGACTCTCTCTGTTTACCGTATACATAGGCAAGTAAAAATATCAAAAATCTACTTTGACACACTCTTCATGACGAGCAAACACTCATGCATGCCACACAACTAGTGTTCATTATGTGAAGCAGATAGAAAAAATGTTTAAAAACACTCACAACAGATTCTACAGGGTTCCCACATTTTCTGGCCAATGAATTTCTGATTTCTCTGCAACTTTTCCGATAATTCACGAAGTATTTTAATAAATACTTGTATAGAGATTGCAAAGATTAATTTCCAGCCAAAAAATACTTGAGCACTGATCATAACTACAAACATGTACAATACCATTTAAATGTTTAGGGTCAGTGTGACAATATTTTTTTTTTTTTTTTTTTTATAAATAACCACTTTTATTCAGTAATGATGCATTAAATTGATAAAAAAAAGTGAAATTATGACTTTTTACATTGTTACAAAAAATTGTTCTTTTGACATTTCTATTCAAAGAATCCTAAAAAGATCTGTTTCTACAAAAATATTAAGCAGTTTCTTCGGTGCCATATTAGAATGCATATTTGAATTATTTCTGAAGGATCATGGGATACTGAAAACTAGAGTAATAACTGCTGAAAATTCAATTTTGCTATCACAGTAATACATTATATTTTTTAATATATTAACACAGAAAACAGTTCTTTTAAATTGTACCAATATTTCACAATATTACAGTTTTTACTGTATTTTTTAATCAAATAAATGCAGCCTTGGTTTCAAAAACA